AGTCTAAATCATCACAGCTTGTCTTTTTAAAAACAAAACTGTTTGATAATAAAAGCAGCTAGTTCCATTTGCACTTTTTGAGACAAACATCACTTTAATATGGTAGAAATTGTGTACATTTGCCATTTCATCACACCGCATATAAATATATATACTCAAGGATTGAAATTTAATGAAGTTAATGATTTTATGTCCTTTATCAAGGACATTCTTTTTTTTTTTTTGTACTGGGAATCGAAACTGAGGACCTTGTGCTTGGCAGGCAGGCCCTTGTGCTGCTGAGTTATATCCCTGGCCCTGTTAAGGGCATTCTTCATTGAAGCCCCCTACCCCTTTTTACTGTGACTGAGGTGGTGAAGAATGCAGTGACTACTGTTATATTTCATTGCTTCTACCTTGATTTGTGGTAAGGTGCCAGTAGTTTTGAATCAGTGCAAAAGTCAACATAGTGAAAAAGATAGAAGTTTTAGTATTATAATGAAAATAATTTTGACCTCCTGGACCCCCTGAAAGGGTCGTAGAGACTCCTAAGGGTCTTCAGTCCCACTTTGAGACTTGGTGGTACACCAGAATGTCAGCTCCTTGACGAAGAGACTTTTGTCTGTCACTCACTGATGTGTTCCTTATATCTGGGTCTCCAACCACCTGAGATGTTTTACCTATCTGCAATGTTAGGTCACTTACAGTAGGAATCTGTGTTGTCTTTGTTGGTTTATCCTCTCTTTTTGGTGGAGCACACAGTTTCAGTAACTTCCTGAGGAAGGGTAAGTTTGAGGCATCATTTTGAGACTGTGTAGATGTTAAAAGGGTCTTTATTCTAATCTCTTACTAGATCAGTGATTTTCCTGGGGATAAACAGATTCTGGTGAGTGGCCATTCTTTTCTGTGTTGCTGTTGGAAAGCCCTATGCTGTTTATATTTCCTCCCTTTTGTTTTTATTTTTTTCTGTTTGGAAGTTGCTAGGACCCTGTCAATATTCCTGGTGTCTGAATTCAAGTGAATTAATTAATTAATTTTGGTGGTGCTAGGGATTAAACCCAGGGCTTCCCACCACTCTAGGTGTTTACCACTGAGCTACATCCTCAGGCCTAGTGTCTGAATATGTTCTTTAATAAATTTTGTTCAGGGATTTAGAGCAGTCTAAATATACTCAATCCTTGAGTATATATATTTATATGCAGTGTGATGAAATGGCAAATGTACACAATTTCTACCATATTAAAGAGTGATGTTTGTCTCAAAAAGTGCAAATGGAACTAGCTGCTTTTGTTATCAGTTTTGTTTTTAAAAAGACAAGCTGTGATGATTTAGACTTTATTTATTTTTTGGATAATTTTCCATTATCTCTTTTGTCTGTTCTTTTATTAGGGAATGCACATCAATTAGACACTGGGCTTTGTGGATTGATCCTCTTTTGCCTCTTACTTTGTTGTTGTTTGTCCCTTTTTCTTTTTACTTTCTGTAAGTCTCTAACATTTTCTTCCAACACTACTATGGTTTAAAAGATAGTTTATCATTTGTTTAAATTTCAAATTCTCTCTCCTGTTCTTTGAATGTTTCTCTAACTCTTTTTGCAGGATCATCTTACATTTCTAAGAAAATTGCTAAGATTTTTATTCTTGAAGTTTTTTTTTCTATATGCTTCCAGTTTACTATAAGTTGCTTTTTCTCTTTTTGGTTTTCTGTTATTTATTTTTAACTTACGTGGAGTGCTGGGGATCGAACCTTGCACGCTGACCGTGTGTTCTACCGCTGTGCTATACCCCAGACTTGGACTTTTACGATAAAGGCTTTCACCATGTTCGGTTTTCCTTTGTTTTACATTTACTAATATGCTAACAGAAAAAAAGTTTACTGTGTTTACCGTTTGGACTTGTCAACTGTGGCCTAGGTTATAGGCAAATGAGGGCATGCTGTTTTCTTTGGTGCACCCTCAGATACTTAGAGTATATGTCTTTAGTCCCATGCTGCTCGGTTTTTGTAGAGAAGAATCCTCCAGTTTCCTTCCCAGCATGCGCACTTGGCTTCACAATCTTGGATCCAAACATGCAGACATCTGCGGCTGGAATCATTAGGTCAAGAGCTTTTCTTAATTCCTTTAACTTTCAGTTTGGCATCGCTCTCCCCTTTTTTGCTGAGCCCTTAGACCTGGTGCTATGCTGATCCCTTCCTGCCCAAGTAAACCTCGCTCTTGGGACTGGGGAAGAGCAGTCACTGGCTGGGTTGGATCGGGTGGGAAACTGGTAGATCGTTTCTGTTACAGAAATTCAGTTAGTTCTCCTGTTCTCAGTTTCCTGCATCACTGTGCCCTCTGTGGCATCTGGTGTCTCAAGTTTCTGATTCATTCTGATTTTGGGTTATGTAAATTGACTTTTCTCTTGTTGAAATTGCTTGGTGTTCAGCTTTCTTCAGTCTAAATCCTCGGGTTTTCATTGGTTAGAAATTTGTTGATATATCTTGTTTACTGCTCCTGTTGTTTTCTCTTATAGATTTTTGTTTTGTGAATTCTTTTTATTCCTTTAATCTTACTTCAGTATTTCTTTCACAAGACAGTAAGAAAGTAATAAAAAGTCATAACTTAAAGTTATTTGTGGGTAAACAAAATTCTTAAAGGTAAAAACAAAAAGGAAGAAAAATCTAAGAAATAAAAAAGCAATTTTGTATATTCCTTAATGGGTTTTTAAAATATACACATATGGGTGTATATTTATTACATATGTAATGTGTGTGTGGATATATTATGTATAAGTAGATATTATATACATGTGGTTGTATATGTATGTATTTATTGCTTCTAGGGCTTGAACTCCGGGATATTTTACCACTGAATTACATCCCCAACTCTTTTTAGTTTTTCTTTTTTTTTTTTTTTTTTTTTACTGGGAATTGAATTCAGGACCTCCCACTTGCCAGGCAGGCACTGTGTTGCTGAACTATATCCCCAGTGCCCCTTTTTAGTTTAAATTTGAGACAGGATCTTATTAAGTTACCCAGTCTGATCTCAAATTTGTGATCTTTCTGCTTCAGCTGCCAGATTATAGGCACATGCTATTATACCCAGCCACACTTTTAAATATATGTATATATATACATATTAAATATGTATGTAATTTATATACATTGTGTATATGTATAATTTCACAATCATAGTATTTTAAAGCTGGAAAGGATCATGGTGATATTTTACCCACTGTGGTTTCATTTTTCAATGAAGAAACTGGCTTAAATATGTTAGTAATTTACTGAAAGTTTCAAAACAAAAGTCACTCCAATACTTTGTTAAATTGTAAAATGTTAGACTTCAATTCCTTGGAGGTTCAGAACTGTATTAAAAATCTTTAATTCTGGCTCTAGGTAAACAGCTTAAAGTTTTAAATTACTCCTAACAGTAGTCTGTGTGCCAATACTGGATCAGGGAGGGACTAGTTCGTCTGATGATTCTGAAAGCGAAGTGGTAATTTAACACGTTATTTTGTTTATAATAATGATATTTAATTTATTTTGAATACATATGAAAGAAATGTTTGAGCTTTTATTTATCTGGCCTAAGTCATTTTTGACTCTGAATGTTACCTAATAATTGTCTTAATAAAAAATAGCATTTCATGTGGAAATCTAAAAGTTAACTTTAAAAAAAGACAAACTTTTCATTAATGAAAATAATTCTAAATATGAAAACCTTAGGTTCTGTTTTTTCCGTTTGTATACTAACTATATAAACATTACCGTAACTGCATAGAAATAGTTTTCAAAAAAGAAAAACTTACGAGAAATTTTAATCATTTAAATATCAGTTATTTTATTTTTATTCTTATTCATATGTATATCTTTCCTTATATCCTCCATACAATTAAAATAATACTTGCATAAAAAATCATAAAAAAGTATACATATTTGTTGTTTTTGGTGGGACTGGGGATTAAGCCCAGGGCTTTTGCACCGAGCTACATCCCTAGCCCTGTTTATTTTTTGAGACAGGTCTTGCTAAGTATCTGTGTTGCCCAGGTTGGATATGAATTTGTGATTCTCTGCCCACAGCCTCCCAAACTGTTGGGACTGCAGGTGTGTGGTGCAAGCCCTGTGAATGTGTTTCTTTAAATTTTTTTCAAATACATTTCTAGCAGTAAGATAGTGCTGTCAAAAAAAGCATCAGAAAGCATTATTTTCATGTTTTTAAAGTTTACATTGCTTAATTACTTTCTAAGAGACTTACACCAGCACTTTATATAGGGGCCGGTAATAGTGCAGAGTTGACTTTATTATAACTATTCTAGTTTAACATTTCCTTTACCAACTTTCACAAGTGAAATGATTATAATACATTGTTTCAGTTTTTGCTTTGTTGATTGATGAAGTCTTATCCATTTACAAGTTTAGAATTCTCAGAAAAATTTACCTCTAAGATAGTATCTTGTCTCCAGGAAATGTAAAAATGAAGGAAAATGTGGTGAATTACTATACAGAATGTTGTGTAATTTTTTTTTTTAAATTTTTTTTTTTTTTCTTTTTTTGGTTTTTTCTCCGGTACCGGGAACTGAACTCACGACCTTGCGCTTGCCAGGCAGGCGCTTTGCCGCTGAGCTAAATCCCCAGCCCCCAGAATGTTGTGTAATTAATGACAAACTGGACCTAAAAATCATAAACTTAATGTAATAAACTATCTTTAGAATTGACTGTTTTGAGAGATAATTGAAGAAAATCAGGGGGAAGAAGACTGTATTAAAGCCATTCCTTATGTTTAGTCAAGAAGCCAGGCACATTTTAAAATTTTATGTTTTGAAACTTTACAGAGTAGTCTGGCATGGTGGTATTGCCCGTAGTTCCAGCTACTCAGGAGGCTGAGTCAGGAGAATCACTCGAGTGCATGTGTTCAAAGCCAGCCTGAGAACATAATGAGACCCTGTTTATTTTTATTTAATGAACAAAGTTTCATAAAGATTAGTATATTAAGTTTCACCCATTGTGCCACTGTATTAGAAATAATTTTCCTTGAATTTAAGCTTATAGAAATGGGTCGCCGGTCATCAGACACTGAAGAAGAAAGCAGAAGCAAGAGAAAAAAGAAACATCGTAGGCGGTCATCTTCCAGCAGTTCTTCAGATAGTAGAACATACAGCCGAAAGAAAGGTGGAAGGAAATCGAGATCAAAGTCGAGGTCTTGGTCCAGAGATCTTCAGCCTCGCTCACACTCTTACGATAGAAGGTGATTTTCACAATTTTTATTTATAAAGTGTTGAGGGTAACATTCTTTGATGCTTATATGCTTTTGTATTTTGAATTTTGTTAGGTAAAGTATTTTTCTTTTCCTTTTTTGAGACAGGGTCTTAGCATATAGTCCAGGCTTGCCTTGCTCTTGCTGTGTAGCCCAGGCTAGCCTGGAACCCCCTTACCCCAACCTCTGCAGTATTGTGTGCCACAATTTTAAAAATATTTTTCAGCTGCATGTGGTGGCATGTGCCTACAATCCCAGTGTTCGGGAGGTTGAGGAAGGAGGGTAGCCAAGAGTTTGAGGCCACCCTAGGCTTCAGCTAAACTGCATAGCCGTAGCAAGACCATGTCTCAAAAAAACAAAGAAAAAAATTTTTTTTCTTTATATTTTTGTGGTGCTAGGGATGGAAGCAGGACCTCACACATGTTAGACAAGAACTGTGCCACTGAGCTATGCCCACAGCCTTTATTGTCTTTCTTTTTAATAATTATTTATGAGAGCTGAGTCCCAACCCAGAAGGTCTTTCTCATCAGGGTTAATCCATGGGTCTGGTGTGCTCATCCATTGTCTTTTCTCTATACAACTAGATAGAGACTGATGTAGTTCTCATACCGTATTATCTGATGGTGTTTGGAAAGACTGTGCTACTTAAGACCAGTGATGCTTAATTAGTACCTGATCATAATGCTTTACTAGTTGATTTAATCATTAAATTATTAATCATCTGTTCAAGACAAATGACAGTTTATCTGTTTACTCCAAGGAAAGAGTGAGACAGTAAAAATGGTATGATTCTTTAGACTCTAGATTTCCCCTTAATGCCTACAACAAGCACTTTCTGTCGCGATGATACTTGATTACATCTTATTTCAGACGCAGGCATCGGTCAAGCAGTAGCTCTTCTTACGGCTCTAGAAGAAAACGAAGTCGAAGTCGTTCCCGGGGTCGAGGGAAGTCTTACAGAGTTCAGAGGTCTAGGTCGAAAAGCAGAACAAGAAGGTAGGTCTTGTTGGTATTTATTACTCTGTAACAAACAATTCCCAAATTTAGTGACTTTAAGCAATGCTCATTTGCCTTTGAGGGAGTCTGCAATTTTGACTGACCTCGGCGGACAGTTCTGCTTAGACACTGGTGCCTTTGTCGTCATCACACAGCTTCACTGCAGCTGGCTGGTCCGGGTAGTGTCTTAGCCAGGTAGTGTCTTAGTGTCTTAGTGTCTTAGCCAGGTAGTGTCTCTCATACATGTGGATTTGGGTTTGGCTGTTAGCTCAGGTGTATGTGTTTTCTCATTTTCTAGTAGGCGGGGCTGGGCTTTTTGTATGGGGGAAGTATTTGAGGAAGGTATAAACAAAAGCTGCAAAATCTGGAGGTTAACCTCAGAAATAACGTGGTGTGTTATGGACTGAATGTTTGTGTCCCAAATTTCAGCTTGTTGATGGTTCAGTTCTCATTGTGCATTTCTCACTGTATTTGGAGATAAGACTTTTATAGAGATAATTAAGGTTTCCTGAGGTCTTCATATTGTGTCCTAATCTGAGAGAGGTGGTGGCCCTGGAATAATAGGAGGGAGAGAAATCTGTGTGTTCAGAAGAGACACTCTGAGGAGACAGCAAAAAGGCTACCATTTACAGGACTAAAGAGAACCCTCACCAGGAATCAGATTTGTCTGTACCTTGATCCTGGATTTCTGGCCTGCAAAACAGAAAATAACTTTGTCTTGTTTAAGCTGCCCAATCTATAGTATTTTGACATGGCACACTGGGCAGATTAATTTCCATTTTTCTAGTCTATTTTTTTTTTTTCCCCCTGGTACTGGGAATTGAACTCACGACCTTGCGCTTGCCAGGCAGACGCTGTGCCGCTGAGCTAAATCCCCAGCCCCTACAGGCAACAGTATAACTGGAGAGAGTTACACATTTTGGGCAGTGGTAGAAAATATAGTTTACGGCTGGGGATATAGCTGAGCGGCACAGCGCCTGTCTGGCAAGCATGATGTCATGAGTTCAATTTTTGGTACGAGAAAAAAAAAAAAGAGAAAGTATAGTTTAATAGGATGAGGAACATGGTATTGAGTGACTTGATGAAAGTAGGCATTTTAGCCAGGTGTGTTGGCACAAGCCTGTAATCCCAGACTGAGGCAGGAAGATAGCTGCGAGTTCAAGGCCAGCCTAGGCTACATAGTGAATTCTAGGCCAGCCTGAACCACGTAGCAAGACCTTGTCTCAACCCCACTCAGACCCCCCAAAAAGAAAGTAGGCATTTAGAAATCATTGAGAGTTTTTGAATAGGAAAGTGTTATGATAAAAAGAGGATAAAAACAATATTATAAAAAGATTGGTTTCTCAGTCGTCTGCATTGGTATTGAGGCCTAAATTTATCAGGCTTAAATGTAATATCTAATTTAGAAATTCTTAAATTTTGAGAAATTACACCATTCATGTTCAAAACACTGCATTATTTTGGAAAACATTCTAAAAGTGTATTCTTCAAAGTGTTTACACTTCCTGGGTTTCTAGATTAATCTTGGTTTAGCAAGAAAATTAAGTAACTAATGCCTTGCACAGTTCAGTTGATCAGTACTTTTATTTAAACATAGAAGATGGAAGTAGTGAGTTTTTCAGAGAAAATTTCCATGGGTCTAAGTCGGTAACTCACATCACGGAGGCCAGGAAACAGTGAAGGGGGTGGCCGGGCAGGGAGGTGCCATTGTGTGTACCCGTCCTGGTGAGGTCCCCAGGCACCCCTCTGACCAAGCATCAGTCCTAACAGACACTCAGCTGCTGAATTTAGTGGGCAAATTCACTGATGAGTGTAGTGCCCCAATGATCCCGTCACCTTCCAGAAGCTCTGCCTCAGTGCATGAAGAGTTTTGGGGAACATTCTAGACCTAAACCTTAACACTATTCACCTAAGAATAGGCATTAAAGATACAGCAAATATTTTGTAGTTACTGAAAAGATGCCATGAATAACCTTGTGCATGCATATTTTTTTTTAACTATTGGAGGTACGATTTCACGGGAAATTCCTGGAGTTCAGATTTCTGAGCCAAAGGTAAAAAGTTTCATGAGAAATTTCCTTTTTTTTTTTTTTTTTTTTTAAATCTTTTTGAGACAGGGTCTTGCTATGCAGCGGAGGCTGGCCTTGAGCTCACTTTGTAGCCCAGGCTGGCCTTGAACTCAACAGTCTTCCTGCCTCAGCCTTCTGAGTGCTGGGATTACAGGGGTATGCCATCATGTCTGGCGAAATTTCCAAATTTTTGTCCGTAATGTGTGAGAGTCTTTTTTTCCACAGTATCACCAATAGAATGTGCTGTTATATTTTTGTGTTTGACAGTCTGAAATGATATTTTAGTTTTTATTTCTTTTTTCATAACAGGTTTAGCATCTTTTCCTGTTCTTTTTTTGGTACCGGGAATTGAACTCAGGACCTTGCACTTGCTGCTCAGGCACTATGCCACTGAGCTATATATATCCCTGGCCCTCTTTTCATATTTTAAAGGACCATCTTTTTCTTCTTGTAATTTTCTGCCTGTATATTTTGGGTTTTTGGTCTTTTTTCTTCCAGTTTTTAAGTTATTTACTAACTGTGATATATAAGGCAAATTTTTTTTTATAGCTTTTAAATTACCTGTTGGGTTTGTTTACAAATTTCCCAATACAGTTGTCCCTCACTCTATTGCAGTTCACTTGTTGCGGCTTCACTGTATTGTGGGTTTTTTTAAAAAAAATATATCTAATTCTGTATCACGGAGTTTTTGCTATATTGTGGGATTTTGTAGTATGTAGGTATTTATATAATATTTATGATTTTAATTATTTTTGCCTAAAAAATTTAAAACAATATAAAAAATGTTAATTCAAATATATTAAAAGAATACTAAATTGAAATAAAATACAGTATGTATTTCATCAGTTGATGGATACTGTACTGTGCACAGTGGAAATGCAGTACACCACCACTGCTTGTGCAAGTTTGCCGACATGAGATTGTACACGGCACGCTACTTACTGATGGAATGGAAGGTGACCAACCACAGCACTATGTTCTGTATCCTGGGCGCTGATTGGCTCAGTGGTCGTAGCACTGGTCTGCTTGCTCTCCAGCACTTGTCCATTTCACATCGAGTACCCAAATAGAATTTGACATGTTGTTCAAATTATGTAGGTTTAAGAGTGTAGAAAGTGTTTAAGAGCATACAAAGTGTTTATAAGAGTGTGGGAAAGGTTAATAAGAGAGTGGGAAAGGTTTATAGGAGTATGGAAAGAGTTTATAAAGCCTTAAAATATATGTAAATCATAAAATAAATATAATGCCACTACTTCATGGATTTTCACCTATGTGGAGGTCTCCGGAACATAACTCCCGCCATAGGTGAGGGGTCACTGTAAGCCAACGTTTTTCTTCTATGTGGCTAAATTTGTTACTCTTTTTTTTATTATATCTTTTTCTCTCTCTTTTTTTTTTTTTTTTGGTTTTTTTTAGGTTTTTTTTTTTCCGGTACCAGGAATCGAACTCATGACCTTATGCTTGCCAGGCAGGTGCTGTGCCGCCAAGCTAAATCCCCACTCCCCTATCTTTTTCTTATTCAGGACATAGAAGTTTTTCCTTACATTCAGAGATGGCAGAATTCACTCTTTTCTCTTTTGTGGTTTTGGGGTTTGAACCCAAGGGCTTCATATTAAGCTACATCCCCAGCTCTTTTTTTTTTTTTCCTGTTTTTGAGACAAGGTCTCACAAAGTTGCTTAGGCTAGTCTTAGATTTGTGATGCTCCTGCCTTAGCTTCCCATGATTTCTTTCCTATTATACTTGCTTTGTTTCTTCTTTTTATTTTTACTATTTAAGGCCTTTATATATTTAGATTTATTCTTATAGGCATGGATCTACTCTCTCAATTTCTAATCGGCTTTTGTCTCGTCATATTAAAAAGGCTATCTTTGTCTCAGTAATTGTGACTTTTATGTCAAATTAATTTTTTTGTTCCTTAGTCATTTTTGAAAATATTTTAAACTAGTTTAGATTAACAGTAAAGTTGCAAAAGAATACAATTGTCTTATATTTCTCATACTACTTCGGTTTGTTTCTTTTTTTGTTTTTTGAGACACGGACTTTACTATGTAGTTCAGGCTGGCCTTGAACTCACTACTTGGCTCAGGCTGGCCTTGAACTTGTGGCAGTCGTCTTGTACCAGTCTTCCTAGTGCTGGGATGACAAGCATGCACCATCACATCCAGCTTACTACTTCACTTTCTAGAGTCAAAAGCAGCATACTGATACAGTACTAGTAGATGACATCTTATTTAAATCTCATCAGTTTTTCCGATAATGTTCTTTTCTATTTCCAAGGTTCAGTCCAGGATCCTACATGGCATTGTTTTCTGTTTGAATCTCCTCCAGTCTGTGAGGGTTGTATCTTTGTTTATCTTTCATGACTGTTACAGTTTTGAAGAGCACTAGACATTTATTTTCAGTTTGAATTTCTGTGAGGTTTTATCACTGGGAATGAGCTTTGTGTTTTTGGCAAGAGTATACAAATGGTGCTGTGTCCTTTTTAATGTATCGTAGCAAGAAGTTCTTGATGTTGCCATGTGACTGGTGGTGTTAACCTTGATCATCTGGACAAAGTGCCAGGTTTTGCCTACAACACTACTGTCTTTCTCTGTGTAGTCGACATATGTGTGCCCCCACAACCAGGTGCCTAGCACCATTTTAAAAAGAGTTTCATTTTCTTACTCCATTGTTTGGTACCTCTACCAAAAGCCAATTATGTTATTAATGCAGTTCTATTTCTGGATTGTCTCTTTGGTTTATTGCTGTATTTTTACGTTAGTCCTACAGAATTTTGATTCTTATGGTTTGCCTTGAAATTGTTATTGTTTAAATTTCCATATGAATTTTATAATTAGTTTGACAGTTTTTTCAAAAATGCCTGTTGAGATTCAACTGGGGATTCGGTGAATCAACAGAAGAGGAGAATTGACATCATAATAAATTGAGTC